AGAACTGAAAATTGTCATTTGTTGTGTTTGCAGCATATTTACTGAAATCAAAAGCTATTTCAATCAAACTTTTAACATCATTTTAACTTTTAAAACATTTTAACAGGGCACGTTACATTTTAACATAGGACTCCTTATTTGATAGCAGTTTCACAAGTCTTGCATCCATTGAACTTGTGAGTTTTTGCACAGTTTCTGCTTGAATTTGTTTGCAAGATGTCAGAATAGCCTCCCAGAGCTGCTGTTTGGATGTAAACTGCCTAACACCCTCATACATCTTTTGCTTGAGGATGCTCCAAAGGTTCTCAATAGGATTGAGATCAGGGTAGGATGGAGGCCACACCATGACTTTCTCTCCTTTTATCCCCATACAGCCATTGATGCAGAGGTATTATTTGCAGCATGAGATGGTGCATTGTCATGCATGAAGATGATTTTATTACGGAAAGCATAGTTCTTCCTTTTGTACTAGGGAAGAAAGTGGTCAGTCATAAACTCCACATACTTTGCACCTTCGGGGCCCCTAAAGGGGCTGACCAGCTCTGGTCCCATGATTCCAGCCTGACTCCACCACCGCCTTGCTGACGTTGCAGCCTTGTTGGAACAGGGTGGCCGTCCACCAACCTTCCACTACTCTATCCATCTGGACCATCCAGGGTTGCACGGCACTCATCAGTGAACAGGACTGTTTGAAAATTAGTCTTCATGTATTTTTCTGCCCAATGCAGCCGTTTCTGCTTGTGAGCATTGGTTATTGGTGGCTGAATAGAAGGTTTATGCACAGTTGCAAGACTCTGGAGGACTCTACACACCTTGATGTCCATGGGACTCCAGAGGCACCAGCAGCTTCAAATATCTGTTTGCTGCTATGTAATGGTATTTTAGCAGCTGCTCTCTTGATTCGATGCATGGATCTGGCAGAAATCTTCCTCAATGTGCCTTTATCTGCACGAACCTGTCTGTGCTCTGAATCAGCCACAAATCTCTTAATAGTTTGATGATCACTCTTACGTTTTCGTGAAATATCTAATGTTTTCATACCTCATCCAAGGCATTGAACTATTTCACTCTTTTGGCAGCAGAGAGATCCTTTTTCTTCCCCATAAAAATGGTGCTCTGCCTAATAATGTGGAATACCCTACTTTAGTAGTTTTTCCTTAAATTGGGCTCAGCGGCCAATCTAATTATCACAGGTGTCCGAGATTATTTTCAGTGATCAAAAGAGCCCTGAGACACAATGCCATCCATGAGTTAAACTGAAAAACAAAATATTTAATCTTTGTGACACTTAAATAGAATTTGCATAATAATTTGGATCACGGTGTAGCATTCTTTGAGATCTTTGGGTGGAACAGCAGGTAGGTAAAAATGTTTATTTTCAAGTAGCAGTCTCTCCAACCAGCAGAAGTTCTCCTCTTTTTTGCAAACAAGCAAAAATTGTGTTTCCTCAAAAGGATCCTCTCCTGCAAAATTGTGTGTTCTCAAGCAAAAAGTAAATTTTAAAAGAAGTATCTCCCCAACAAAAAGTGTGGTTTTAACTGCTTTAGGACCGCCCTATAGCAGATATATTGCTACAGGGCAGCACCTGTGTGCAGGATCACGCATATATACGTCATTCTGCATTACCGGGTAGGGGGCACGTGCCCTACCCGTGCTGCCATTCGTGGCCGCAGATGTCAATCACTGGGTCCTGGCCGGTAATTACCCGCCGGCGCCCGGTGATTACCGAGCATCTCCAATGAGGAGGAAGATTGTTCTGTTTACAAACAATCTTCCTCCCTGTCAGCTCCAGCATACTGCTAGGGATGGCTGTGCACAGTACAGTCATCCCAATCAGTGTGCTTACAGTCAGGAACACACACCCCGCCCCCTAGTAAAACACTCCAAGCACACAGTTACAGTTTGAGAGCCTTCCCATTAACCCCTTCCTGCCCAGTGTCATTAGTACAGTATCAGTGCTTTATTTAACACAATCGCTGTATTGGTGTCACTGGGGTGTCAGTGACACCAAGTTAATTCCCCCCAGTGTCAGAATGTCTGCCGCAGTCCCAATAAAAGTCGCTGATTGCCGCCATTACTAGAAGAAAAAAAAAATCCCATTATCTATACTGCCATTTGTAAACGATATAACTTTCACGTAAACCAATTAATTTAAACAAATTGTGATTTTTTGTTTTTAGCAAAGACATGTAGCAGAATATATTTTGGCCTAAATTTATGATGAAATTTTATTTTTTAAATTTTTTTACAGGATATGTTTTATAGCAAAAAGTAAAAAATTGTTTTTTTTTCCAAAAATTGTTGGTGTTTTTTTGTTTATAGTGCAAAAAATAAAAAATTCAGAGGTGATCAAATAACACCTAAAGAAAGCTGTTTGTGGGAAAAAAAGGATGTAAATTTCATTTGTGTGCAGTGTTGCATAACCATGCAATTGTTAGTTAAAGTAAAGCAGCGCCGTAACACAAAAAATGGCCTGGTCATGAAGGGGGGTAAATCCTCAGGAGTGCAAGAAAGTATCTCCCTCTCCTTTTCCCTCCTGTATAAATACTGTGGAGATCCATTGTCTGTTGGGTCCATCCACAGTACATGTCGATTTGACAGCCAAGGATGCTGTTTATTCTAGATGTTCTTTTACCTGACCACTAGAGGCCGTCTTGTTCCATGAATGACATTTTTATTTCTTGTTTATGTAAAATTTAGCCATTTAGGTAAAATCTTTAGGAGTATATATATATCTTGATGAGATATCAAAGCGGCTCTCATAGATATCCCTCTTGGTAACTTCTATTTGTTTGAGTTGGTTCAAGCATTGTGGACCATCCTTATTAAATGAGGATTATATTTTTGTGGTTATCCAGGTTTTTGAAAATGGTTGATATTAAGAAGAATTTTCCTGTCATTTGTCATGGTACTTTATCGGATGATGCACATGTGTTATTTCAGTCCATCATATATCTCATATCTTTTTGCACTCTGATATGTAGGTGCATATTGTTAGTAAATCATTTGTTTTAATATTTCTCAAACGGTCTACCCACAATCACAATCCATAGCATATGCCATTGGAAACTGGTAGATATTTGGTTGATACTTTCTATGCTTTTGTAGTTGCAAAATTAATGGGATTGTATCCTGTGATCATAATATGGATCTATGAATATATCAACTGAGTATATTGCTTGGTTAAGGAGTTTAGTTCTTGGATGTGGACTGCATAATTTTACAGTCTATGTAAACACCTGAGGATTGTAAGTGTAGCTAGGTCTATTGAATTCTGAGAAGGCCATTGTCTATGTAGTTCATTGGCAAACACTCAGTTAATATCCCAGCAGATATTTGACTCTGTTGATAATGAGTGTTAATGTTCCCGATATGCTCATTTCCTTGTCCTGTTTAACAATTGTAAAATGTATTGGAGGCTTTACTTAGTTAATAAGGATATTTAGGAAGCGCCATTCTCAAGGTCTCTTATTGTCTTTACTTGTGATCTCTCTCATGATCCAGGTACATAGATGCTTTGTCTTCACAATGAACATTTATGACTTTTGGTCAACACTGGCCAGGTCATTTCTGGTTAAGGATATGTGAACTCATTGTGTTTCCTCTTCTCATTCCTGAGAGTTAATTAGCCATTTAGATTCAGTCAACATAGTGTTTGGTTAACATCTTATTCTTATGTGCATTTGGCCAGTCCACAATTTTGAGTGTCTTTTGTTTAAATGGTCTATTGTAAAGAAAACACATTTAGTTTCTTGAGAAACTGCTGGTGTTTCATAAATGTCTCATTGAGTGATATTTCTTTGCAGTAACTTATGAACATTTATGTATCAAAATCATAACAACAGGTAACCTGTAAAGACTTTTATTTTTTTTTTTTCCAAAAATACTTTTATTAGAAGAAAAAAAGGCATATCAAGGCATATACAACTACAGATCACAGTCCGAGCATAGACACAGTACATAGTCTCCTGTTTCACAGACTGGTCATCGGTTTAAACTGTAATACAAATCGAGGTAGGATAGCACATTATATCAAGTGTATATTACATACCTGCAGATACAAAGAATATTTTAGATAAGGCAATATAAGTATAATGAATACTGACCCATTTAATAGTGAGCTCTTATTTTAAGGGATTGTGGGGTGTTGGGTAAGGGTAGCATTGGAAGGATTGTATGTTATGTTTTGTGTGTCTGTATCAAGAATGTGTGAGTTACGTAGAATTAGTCATGCCTGTATGAGAGTAAATGCTCTATTCTGTTGGGGATATATGATTAATAAGGGCGTATACAAGGTGTGGAATAAAGATAAGCCAGAAAGGAGGATAGTTAGAGAGAGAATTGTAGAGTGAGGTAGTGGGGGGGGGGGGGGGGGGGAGTAGGGAGAGAAAGAGGAAAAAAAAAAAAAAGAAAAAAAAAAAGGGGGGGTGGTGAATGGGAATGGGATGGGATACACTGCTTTGCCGCGTTTACCATGTGCAAGGCAAGGCAAGTGATTTACGGTACGTCCTAAAAGGAAGTGAGGAGTGGTGGAGTAAGAATTGTGCGGGAGAGAGGTGTAGGGTGTACGTAGTGTGGGAACTCGCTTCAACGTGGTAGAGCTTTTAAACGCAAACAGCTACTCGCTTTCTTTTTCAGGGCCTTTTTAGCCCACTTTTATTTAAATGAAAGTTCAAACAGAAGTTTCCCACACAGGGGTAATGAATCATCCACAAAAACAACGGTTCAGCCTCCTGGCTTACACTCAGCTTGCTGTCTGTCTCCTGCAGACTTCTTCCCAAAAATATGGCACTTGCACACCGCTGGCCTCTAGCACACAGCTAGTCTCTAGCAGCCCCTTGCTGCTTTTGGCTTCCACCTCTCCTAGGTGAAGCCCACCTGACTTCCAGGCAGTGACCTCCTGTCTTCCAAGTGTAGCCCTCCTGACTCCTATCTGCCGGGGTGGAGCCCAGAACCCTGGTCCTGACTCTCTCTAAAGGCCTGCACACACATGTGCAATCAGTCTCCTGGCCATTCCCAAAACCTGGTCCCAGGATTGGAGATTTCATCCCTCCCAGATCTCTTTGAAATCTCCAGGCTCCAGATCCCAAAACAGACCTTACAAACAAAGGAGGAAAGTGAATAGCCATTTTCCTGCATATCAAACCTTTACCCTGGAGCCCCTCAACCTGCCTTGTTGAGAATCCAGGGTGACAGATCGCTACACTGTCACAGTAGTTACTTGTGTAATTATGGCTTGAACTTTTCCCCAGAAAGGCTGTAGCAATGGGCAGTCCCATCATATATGTAAGAGCGTACTCATCGCCTGATGACATCTCCAACACAAATCTGAGATATTAGGATCAAATTTGTGAAGCAGGGACGGAACTCTGTACCATCTAGAGTATAGTTTAAAGTTGTTTTCTTGTGTGGAGACACATATGGACCCTTTATGTATATGTTCATAAATGTGATCCCAGTCTTCTGGCGATAATTGGAGTTGCAAGTCAGAGCTCCAGGCCCTGCAAGCTTTCCAAGACGGAAGATCAATGGTGTTTTCGAGGCAGGTGTAAAGCTGAGATACAACATGTCTCTGGGGAGAGTCTGTAGAGCAAAGTTTTTCAAATGGGGTAAGTGGCCTGGTATAATCTTTTAGATGTGAGGAGCTATGTATAAAGTGGTGGAGTTGTCTGTACATCCACGGCGTCAGGGATGGCCATTTGTTCAGAATGATGTCTCTGGATAAGAACATCTTGTCTTTGAAAAGCTGATGCAACCTCAAATTGTCTTTGGGGTTATACCTGGCGAGAAAGGCATGCGACATACCTGGTGGGAAGTCTGGATTCATTTTGATCGGAGTGAGTGGGCCAGGGGTGGAAGAGAAACCTTTTTTCTGACTCATCTGATGATAACATGATAGAGTGGGACCTATAGGAAAGTGTTCCATGAACTCAGAAGGGATGTGGGCATTTTTCAGCCAAGGGGAGGTGGCGAGCGGGATCCCCGAAAAGGCAGCTTCCAAATGAACCCAAGCCTTACGGTTGCGGTTTGTAGACCAATCAACTACAGAATTCTTGCCAGGTGACAGACCCTGTAGTAGCGGGTGATATCGGGTAGTCCAATACCTCCGCTCTTCTTAAGCATGGTGAGTTGGTCAAAGCCAATTCTGGGGCGTTTATTACACCATGGAAATGAGGTACATAGTGTTTTGTAAGACTTAAAGAAGGAATTAGGCAATTTGATTGGAATCATTTGCAGTAGGTCTAGTATTCTAGGAAGTACGTTCATCTTGAGGATAGCTGCTCTACTAAACCAAGAGAAAAATGATTTGTCCCATGTCTGAAGATCTTTGGCGATGCTACGTAGGAGGGGTAAGAAGTTTTTGGCATAGAGTTCTGTAAGGTGAGTCGAATTGAATTCCTAAATAAGTGATGGCCTCGGACTGCCATGCAAAAGGAAAATTTGTTTTCGCTTGTCTGATCGCATATTGGGTTAAGGAAACATTGAGGGCCTGGAATTTAGTGAAGTTTATTTTAAAATTGGCCAGATACTGAAACAATTTGAAATCGTGTAGTAGGTTAGGTAATGTAATATATGGGTCTGTCAGGAAAAGCAAGAGGTTATCACCAAAGCTGCTACCTTGTGAACTCTGTCATTGATCAAAATCCCTTTGATGTTGTCATTCTGTTTAATGCAGTTCAAAAAAAGTTCCAATGTGAGAATGAATAGAAGGGGGGATAATGGACATCCCTGTCTGGTCCCATAGCTGATCGAAAAAGCATCTGAAAGGAGGCCATTGACTCTTACTTTAGCCATTGGCATTACATATAAAGACATGATAAAGGTCAGGAGACGTGGAGGAAGCCCAACACCAGTCAGAACAGCCTCCATGTAGTCCCATGCCAATCTGTCAAAGGCCTTCTCAGCGTCTAGAGAGAGGAAGAAGCCAGATTGATTCTTTTGTGTCAACCAATGATGTACATTTATGGCCCTGATCGTATTGTCTCTAGCCTCTCTCCGGGTACAAACCCAACTGATCAGTGGAAATAATGGGGTCTATAATGCGCAGTAAACGATTGGCCAATATTTTGTCAAAAATCTTTAAATCAAAGTTCAGTAGGGAGATCGGATAATAGTTCGCTGGGGATGTCTGATCTTTGTTTTCTTTCGGTATAAGTGTGATATGGGCTTCAGAAAGATGACGCATGGACTGCCATGGGGTATCTAGAGAATTGAAGGCCTTTAGGAATGTATGTGCTAGGATGTCAATGAAGGATTTGTAATATGTGGTTACAAGTCCGTCTGGGCCAGGGCATTTGCCTGGTTTCAGTTGTGTAATGGCCTGTTGTAGTTCCGTCAATGTTAAAGCTCCATCTAATTTTTTTGCTTGCGATTGGGATATGGATTTAGGAATGTATTGGGCGAGAAAAGTCTGGATAATTGCCTTACGTGGTCTAGTATCCCCTGTCGGTTTTGGTGGTAAGGGTAGGTTGTAGAGGGCAGAATAATATTTCTCAAATTTGGCTGCGATATCTGCAGAATTTTTTAAGCAAGTGGCCTTGTTTGGACTTAAGATGATGAATGGTGTGAGCCGCCTTTTTAGATTGCAAGGCCCTGGCTAAAAACTTGCCACTCTTATTTCCATGCTCATAAAAGAGTTTCTGAGCTAAAGTATAATTACATTTGCTTTTCTTTTCCACTATGTCTCGAAGTTGTTTGCGTGCCTGATCAAGTTCGGTCGCAAAGTTTACAGCCGTAGAACGTTTATGTGAGCATTCGAGTTTGCGTACTTTTTGAAGTAGAGAAGTAAAAGATGCCTGAGCTAGATGTTTTCGAGAGGCAGTGATGGAAAGCAGAAGCCCACGTATCACACATTTGTGTGCTTCCCATTGTATGAGAGGGGACGTTTCCCAGGGGGCCTTAAGAAAGCTGTATTAATGCAAGCACAAGATCATAGTCACATACAATTCCTTATTGAAGGACATCAATTTCCAAATGCGTTGAGATTCAGTGACTCAGGTGTATGTCAAGGCAAATGAGTAGACTGTATCCCTGGTTCTCAAACAAATATACATTCCGGTTTCAGCCATGGCTACCCGTATAATGCAGTAGGCCATTAATGATCAAACAAATAAACTCCAGGGCCAGCAAGATTATGAATCAAGGCTCTGTTAGCACCAGTACCATGTAGCCCACAGAGAGCAAGGGCTAATATAATCTCAGTAGCTACATTCAAAAGCTGTGTAAATATAGAACAAACAGATCATATACATGAGAATTAGGACAATCTACTGCGATACACATACCCAACATCTTATTCCAGGGTTGACAGAAGGTTTTCCATTAAAGGCGGAATGGAACCAGGGTGTAGAGGAAAATCATGTGGTATATTAGGTCAAGTTGGAATGTAGATTCAGAATGGGGTAATGATGATGCACGGGTGTAGGGAGAAGGGGGAATGGGGAAGTGTCATTTGTGAGCTGGTGAGGCTGGTAGACTGTCCCCAGTGGTGAGCCTTCATCATACAGTGGAGGACGAGGTTCGGTGTGATGGTCTGCGTCATCTTTCTCCGCCAGGGTGTCCAGCAGATTGGGCCTCCCTTGGGTCTTCATCCATCTGAGATGGGAGGTGGGATTCACCGGACCAGTTGGGTATGTCCACTATTGGGATATCCAGGGCCTCGCAAAATGGTGCGGCATCTGAGGAGAGCTAATGTGTGTTGCTGAGAGGCCAAATGGAAATCTCCAGTGGTAAGCGATACCCCTGGAGCGTAATAGATCCAATAAAGGGCGTAAGTCCTTTCTGCGTTGCAAGGTGAGATGTAAGAGATCTTGAAATAATTTGATTTCAGCTCCTTTATATACCACCTGGTTTCGATCTCGTGCTCTGCGTAATATTTCTTTCTTAAGTCGGAAGTCGACTAAGCAGCAAATTATATCTCTCGGGGGATCAGTGTCTCTGCCTCTAGGACGAAGAGCCCTATGAAGGCATTCGATCTCAATAGGGGACTCCTGTGGTCTTTCCAAAAGATCATTGAAAATGGTTAAGAGCGTTTGGGTGAGTTGGCCGGGTTCAACTGCTTCAGGGACACCACGTACCCTTAAATTATGTCATCTTCCCCTGCTGTCCAGGTCCTTGATGTGACAATCAAGCTCTCTTAAATGCATAGTGTGCGTATCTACCAGCTTGCGCATATCATGGATGGCAAGGTCTTGTATGATAACTTTATCCTCCACTGCTTCAAGCATTTGAGCAACTGCCTGTCGATATGTAACTCAGCTATTGCTGCAGAGAGGTTCTCTTTAATATCTGATGCTACTGCTTTCAAATCCCCTATAGTGAGGGGGGAGGCTTCAGAATGGCAGGCTGTGGGTGCTGCGGCCGGATTCCTGTTCCCCGAGTGAGGCGCTCTATGAAGCGAATGGGGGGAGGAAGCAGGAGAGGAGGTCTCTGTGTGTTCTGGGGTCTGGGATTGGAATAGGTCCGGGATGCTGCGACTGGCAGGGCAGATTGGCAGGCGGGGGGATCTTGACCGTGGGTCTCCTATCCGCTTTCACCATATCAGCGGTGTCTCTCCTTGTTATGAGCAAGTATTTCCACCTGCATGTATCAGGACGCCAGGAATTAAGCTGACATTTTCTTTGGGCTCAGGCCGAGCCCCCCAGTGATTATAAACTTATGAGAAAGATCTCCAGGTAGGTCAGGGGTCCAGATGTAGGCCTCAGAGCACGTGGGAAGGCCGGCAGGTACAGGGGCTGAGAAACACGGGCTCCCTAGGGTGCTGGCTCTAGAGCCCTGCAGGGAGGGGTGCAGGGAGCACCTTTGTATCCCCCAGGTGGCTGTTTAATGTGCTTGGTAGGCCTTCAGACTCTGCGGGGGCCATGAGACAGCTTCCTGCAATGGGGGCTCTTCAAGGCCTTTATCACAGGCCGTAATCCCCTGGGACCGGGTGGGGGGGGCCCGATGGTCCAGGTAGGGTTGCCTGATGGTCCGGGTGGGGGGGACTTGCTGTTCCTGTATTACCCCCTCCCACCGCAAACCGCACTCACCTGACCACTAGACGGACGCAAGTGCGGCGTCCAGTTAGGCTTCACAAGGCCGCACTAGGCCGCAATGTTTCGCTGCCACGGAGGGGGGCCAAAACCACTCGGCGCCCCTCTACAGTACACCGGCAGGGACCTCTGACTGGCTCCCTCAGTCCGCTGCCGCCAGGATGGCAGTAGATTATGTGAAGCACCGTCGGAGCTCCGAGCTATGCGGCCGCTCCGGTCGCCATCTTGGACATGCCCCCCAAGGCATTTTAAAACATCGCCTATGGAGATTTTTAGGTACCTTAGTTTGCCACTGTTCCACAGGCAGACAAAATTTTAAAGTGTGACATGTTTGGTATCTGTTTAC